CCAACACTAAATGCTTTCCTAAAGAGCCAGAGTTCTATTAGCCACCATCCTACTACATTGTTTTATATACCATCCTGTTGATTGTACTGACTTGCACTAAATAATCCACCTTGAGTCCCAGTGAGAAAGGCAGACAAATAGAAACAAACAAATAAAATGAAGCATTCAAGTCAATATGCATGTGCGGGCAGGTAGGATTTTCTTTAGTCATAATGCACATCATTTTACACATTTTTTTTTTTTAATGCCAGTTCGTGGCCCAGTAGTTATAACTATATTTTATGTTTTTTTCCAGTTCATATTATTAAGGGATGTAGGCTTGTTGAACAATTGGGTATATCTATGGGTGATTTCTCAATAATGGATGAATTGCAGCTGTATCTGTGAGCAGACTGAATTTATTTATTTATTTATTTTATTTCACTTATGCCCTGCCCTCCCCGCAAGCGGGCTCAGGGCGGCTTACATAGGCACAACTGTGCAATAAAATACAACAGGATTAAAACAGTTAAGGCACCAAGTGCAACTGAACAGTGCTGAACTCACCCTGCTTGCAGAAACAGTGCCAAGTTAAGAGTTTCATTAACATTTCCCACACTTGTGCACATGCATGGGTGTGTTCCCAGGAAGCATATTATAGAGAACAGAAGGATTTTGCACTCCTCCGTATCTCAGACTCTCTCTGTAATTGATGCAAGTTACTGGACAGCCGGTTTGGTGTAGTGGTTAAGAGCGGCGGTCTGTAATCTGGAGAACCGGGTCTGATTCCCCACTCCTCCACATGCAGCCAGCTGGGTGTCCTTGGGTCAGCCACAGTTCTCTCAGAGCTGTTCTCTCAAGAGCAGTTCTTTCAGCCCCACCTACCTCACAGGGTGTCTGTTGTGGGAAGAGGAAGGGAAGGAGATTGTAAGCTGCTCTTGCGACTCCGAGTGAAAGGTGGGGCATAAATCCAACTATTCTTCTTATGCTTAGAATGTATTTTAGGTGATGACTCATTCATGCGCGTGTGTGTAAACAAAGCTCACTACAGGAACAAATAAGTGTCAACTCCATGTCAAGATTTACAATAGCCATCTAATGCTGTTTTATCATTATTCTTTGTTATCCTGCATTACCAGCTGGCATTCCTTTGCTAGTGAATTTTACTAACCCATAAAGCAGAGGAGCTTGCAGCAGCCCCAAGTTTAAAAGGAGCCTGAAGTTGAGTTTCAGATTGTCTCTAAATATAGTGTTGAATACTTGAGGAGTCAGATATCTAACATCCTGGAGCAACGTGCCATTCAGTTATGCCCCACATATTGCTTTGACGGGAAAAGAATGAGATAGGGGATTGAGCAGATGGAGAACAATAAATCTTTTCAGAGTTTTTATTTCTGAAGCTTGCTGTCTTGCCAAAGTAACTGGCCAAGTCTGTATGAAGTATAAACTGTAAAACAGAATTCATCCAAAATAATCCAAGCGCACTACTGGGCTGCTACAAGCGATTGGAGTTAAACTTGGTCAAAGAAGATTTCAAAGGGCTGTAGAGAAAAACAAACAATGAAGACCCAGCTTGAGCAGAAGAGTCACTGGGCAAACTCCAAGGATCAAGTTATCAATGAAAAATGTCAATTATCACCAAATCAGGCCTAAAATGTGTGGGCAGAGCTTCACACACAGAAAAGACCTTTCTGCATCCATGCTGGCCTGCTCAGGGAGGTGGGGATTTAGGATGACTACCTTCCAGGGCCCTATTAAACCTGCAACACCACAAAATAGGGCACATAATGCAATTTATTTTCATAAGATTTTTTTTTGGGGGGGTGTTGTAGGGCACTCAGAGGGAATCTCTTGGGAGCTCAGGAGGTGTTCAATAGCACTACAGCCCCCTGTGCTCTCTAAATAGCTATTCCTAAGCCTCAGAGGACCTCCAGTAATGCAGTGAGAGGTGTCACAACTTAACTCGGTACTACAAATCTGTCAAAATTACCACCACCACCCCATTTTGCAAGCAGAGGTACCTTCTGCCCAGGCAAGAGCTTGTTTGTGTCCAGTATAGAATAACTTCAACTGTGTAGTGACCTCTAATGCAACGAGATGAGCAGGTGTCTGGATTGGCAACTAATGCTATAAACCTAGTCAGGTTTGTTTTCCTTCTTCCTGTGACAACTAACAGGCTCAATTTGCAACATCACTTTCAGACATCCCTCACTTCAGAATGTCTATATTAACTTGCTTGCTGACAGAATTTCCCCAGTTGGCTGGATTATGCCTTGTTATACCATCCCTCATTGGAGAGAGGTTGTATTACAGTCTCCAGTTAAACAGTATGCTATAAGCTGCTTACAGTATAAACCAAGCAGAGTTACACCTTTCTATATCAGTTGGTCAATGAGTTTAGAAGGGTACAGCTCTGTTGAGGATCATACTGTTACTCTGGTTCATATTCTATTGAAATCAACTGAGCAGGTCACCCTATGACGATCTTCCCATGAAGGTCTGCCACTCTCCATTAGCCCCTCCAATTTCACTGGGGAGAGGGGGCTTCCCTTCTTGTAGAGTTTCATGTTTATGGGTAGTGCTATAAGCAAGAAAGAAATTGGCCAAGCAGTGGGCCCACCTGGGTCATGGATTATGACTACAAATATATCATGGAACAGGGGTGTCAAACATGTGTCCCATAGGCCAGATCAGACCCCCAGGGGGCTTCTCTCAGGTCCACAGTGGCTGTCTCCTGCTTCTTCTTCCAGTTCTGCTGCTGCATCATAGATTGCTTTGCCAGACTCTCTCAATTGCTCAGGAGAGATAGTTAGGCAAGCTTCTGTTCCCTGCTCTGGCTGAGGCTCCTCCCCCTCCTCATCCCAGGTAGAAGGAGGGAATGAGCCAGAGCTTGCTTCCTGGCCAGGCTACCTCAATCACACAGGAAAGAAGAGCTAGCCTTTCTTCCCCTCCATTGGCTGAGGCTCCTTCCCAAAGGGAGGGGAGGTGAGAGAGCTTGCTTTGCTTGGCTGCCTCAATTGCACGGGAGAAATACAGACAACCTTTAAGACCAACAAAATTTTATCCAAGGTATGAGCTTTTGTGTGCCTTGCTACAGTGTGTGGGTTTTGTTGGGCTTGTTATGCTGTGGCTCTCCTGGGTGAAAGTGCCCCCCCCTTTTCACTGTATTCATGCCATCATAATCCATTCTTTCTCAGGAGGAAAGCCATGTGAACTATTTATATGAGGAATAACAAGCCAGTGAGGTGGATTAGGCTGAGAGCGTGTGTCCAGACCAAGTTCACCCAGCACATTTCCTCTGGGGATTTTGAACTTAGACTTCCCAAATAGTGATCTAATACTGACCACTGAGGAAGACTAGTTTTGTAGACAAACACATAGCCCTCAGTCTTTGTCATGGTGCCTTCTCATGTTCTTGACCAGCACACAAAGCAATTTATGTACAAAAGCTTGCAATGACCAGCTATTTCACGCTTTCTCCTGGGTCCTAGGCTCAGAACTCTGAGCAGGAGATTTCTGTAGTGAATGTCAATAAATCCAAAGTAGGTTTGCAGTTTACAGATACACGACATACTCAAGATTGCAACAGCACAGACATTTTGATGCAGTGATTCAGAGCAAGAGGTATCAGTCACTTAAATCAACAAAATTTTTGCAAGAGTGCTAATGTGTTAAGCATGTTTTAATTTTAAGTTAAAAAAATCTTTAGCTATGTTTTTAACTATATAAAGTTTATATATCCGCTACTTGGCAGTTTATGACACACATGACCTGGCCCAACAAGGTCTTATTTATGTCAGATCCGGCCCTCATAACAAGTTTGACACCACTGTCATAGAAGGTCTCTAGGAACAAGGAAGTGGTGTAATAAATCTAGCAGAATAATAAACCGAGCAGAAATGTAAAACAAAGGAGCAAATATCTACAGAAAAGTATACAGAAGTATCTAATGTGATCTAAGTTTCCACAGTCATCCCATCATGAGATTAAATATCCACTCAACATTAAGAACATCAATGGTAAACAGTAAGTGCTGATAGAACCTTTAATGCAACAAACCACACAAATATTGTCTCCAAATCCTTCAGGATCTATACATGATTTCTATCCTGTTTGCACATTTGTCGGCAAGGAAGTAAGAAATCTTTGATTCTATTTTTTTAAATTGACGTTACAACTTTATGGAATATCTTCCATTTTAAAAAAGCAAGATATTAAGAGCTCACAGCCTGGCCTCCTTCAGCCCACAATTTATTCATGGCTCCCTGCCAAAGAACCTGCCCTGCAAAGCTTGTGGCCTCCAGAGGGGAAGGTAAGCTACTTTTCAAAAACCACAAAGACATGAATGATTTACAGAACAGGAATATTTCAAAATAAAAGGCTATCAAGACTGTCCAGGAAAAGCTTTAAACCCCCACCCTTTAGAGATTTATTGTGCAGACAAAAATCCTTGCAACTTGCAAGGCATAAACAGATGGAATAAACTAGCCCATTTCCCATTAAATTTGGGATGTAAAAAAATCCTTTCCCTGGAGTATAAGTAGCAGCATATTTGGTTTCTGTACACAAACAAGTTCATCACCCTAGCCCAGAGATGCACGGCATATTTCAGTCATGTCAGACAAATAAAACCAACTCCGGTTACAGTAAAGATCTATAATAAAACAACACCTGTAATGTGAAAGACACCGCACCATTGGCTTCTCGGGGTTTGGCTTTACACGGAACATCTGCTGGACATAAAAATGTTTAATTAGCTGTTCGACTACATGAATTTTTTTTCTGCCTTCAACACATTACATTTACCCTTGCTCAGCTAGCAAGGTTCAGGAGGAAGCAACTAAGTTTTTATCAAGATGTGACAGGGTGGGGGTTTCCAGCCACCAGTCTCTTGCAGATTTGATGAAGTTACTTCTAATGTTTGGAACCATATTTTTCATTAGTGCACTCTCTCCCAAAGTGGCAAGTTACACAAACTCTTAAAATTAATCTTTGTTATGGTTGGCCACTCTGAAACTTACATGTTTACCCAAGGTCCTGTATTGCCCGTCTTCTGAAAGCAGATATGTGAAATGTGAGTATGCTTGGATATAAAAATATACTGAGATTTTATACTTGCATCTCTTCACACTTCCAAAATAAAAACCTATTTATAAACTATTGAGAACCCCCTTCTACATGACAACTTAGTTGTCTGCCCAGTTACAATAGCCACAATACTGATGGTCCGCACAATGCATAGTATTTGCTGCCCTTGCCTTGTTATTCTCATATGTGGTGTACTAGGCTCCCAAGGCTTCCTGCCATAAGTCAGATAAGTTTCTCCAGTGCCACCTGAAGTTTTGCAACTCTTCAAGTACATATGCCGGTTACATTTAATGGCCCTCAGTTCGGCAGGGAAAGATAAAACCCTTCCATATTTTTTAAAAAACATGGAACAATAGCTGTAATGCCAGCTGGTTCTGTGTTCATGCAGAGTAGATCAAGGTAGCCAAAAGTACATATACTGGTTTTCCCAGTTTCCCCAAGCTAGGTTTTGATCTTGGGAGAGGTTTTGAAGAATTTTGGACCGGGGGGGGGGGGCACACTCAGAAGGATGATGACAAGGCATCTTGTGAAGTGTCAGATCTGGGAAACACTGTCCTGTATGGAGAATACAGATTTCTGAAGGAAGAACCACTCAGGTTAGAAGACTCCTGAGTCTGGAGGAAGGGTTCAGATGGTACAGTGCTAGGATTAGGGTTTCCAACCTCCAGGTGCTGCCTGGAGATCACCCCCAATTACAACTGATCACCAGATGACAGATGAGTTCCCCTGGAGAAAATGGCTGCTTCGGAGGATGGACTCTGTGGCATTACATATCAGCAAAGGCTGTTCCCCAAACTCCATCCTCAAAATCTTTTGAGGATTTTGCTAGTCTTTAAGGTGCTACTGGACTCTTGCTTTTTTCTGCTGCTACAGACAGACTAGCATGGCTACCCATCTTAATACTAAATTATAAAACACACACAAACTGAATTTACCAAGAACCTAGTTCTTGGAAATAGCAGGTTTGTCTTCATTTTGGAGCGGAGGCTGGTTTGGTCTTAACACACACGCACACACACACAAATGGCATGGGTCATTACAAACACAAATTATACAACCGTACAAGTCATGGCATGAGAAATAAAGCCTGAACCATTTTCTTCTACCAGCTGCTCTCTTGGTTGAGGTAAACCATGCAATGAGCCAGGCTTATAATAGCCAGCTTGACATGACTAGTTTTCATTTTTTAAAAAAATGCATTACTCCATTTGGGAATTCTGTTCTAGTTCTTAAATTGATTACATTCTGTTTCTTCAACTGCAAAACCTCTCAACCCCACTCTGTTCATCTGCTGGCTAAATTCCACGAAGCATCCTGTATTGCCCAGATTTCCCAAGTTTCTTGTTAGTCAACTTGAGACAAAAAATCCTAAGCAGAAATTTCTCCTCCTTCCTGGTCTACCAATAATAAAACATTTAGATTCAAACTGCATTTCAAGGGTATGAGGAATAGACACCTTTATACTTCTAAGATTCTCTGACGGGCTTTTTGTAATCCATCTCTCTCACTATCTTGTACGATTCTGATTTATTCAGGGTTAAGACCTGAGAGCGGGCAGAGGATTCCCTTTCTCCCAAAGCCTGCCAGGATGGCTTGAATCCAACTGAGTGCAAGCACAGCCCTCTTTTTTCCTCCCTCTCGTCACTTCTGCCCATTGTGCCCCACATAACACTGCCTGTGAGGTTCATAGGACCTCTAGGAACAGTACTGGACACAGTGTAGGGATCTGCCGTGGGAGTGGTGAAAGCTACTCGCATACCCCCTGCTGACATGCTTTATGCCTAGCGGTCGTATGACATAATCCAAGCCATATTAGCCTGGACAAGGAATTTTGGAAACTGGGTCACTAAAACACATGTGTACCTTCTCCCTTTGTGGGACAAAGAAAGTCAGGCTGGTCATGAGCCAGAGACTTGGTCATCATTTGCAATGGAACTGGCTCTTCAATTTAAAACAAAAACACCACATTGTAAACGCAGAGGTCAGTTGCAGAACAATTCAGAATGTCTTGCCTTATTTACAAAATCCTATTGGTTGCATAGATTTTTCACCAATCAATAGCAAGTAAATTAAGATAATGTCTCAGAGGTAGGAGATCATCTGTGCTTTGCAAGGATTCGGAAGGTACTCTTAACCCTTGGAGCTACCTTTCCCTTTCCCTGAAGCCCATTACTGGAAGAACTATAAATGCTAATTAGAAGTTTACATTTGTTGCAGAAGCTGCAGCTGCCTTAAACCCAAATAAGCCTTGAAACTGCTTTTGTACTGACAGGTATGCAAGATTGTTTAGGATTACTTGGAGAGTTTAAAAAAATCAACACTTTATTATACAATACTGTATAATAGAGACCATCCATTAATTGATTATTTTTTTGCAACATTCAGAAAACCCTGGCTCAAAGCTAGCCTTTAAGTCCTGTGCCCTCCCCCCCCCCCAGTTTGGGATTTTAAAATTTTTACTTAAAAAAAATAAAAATATGGCAGGGGATTTTTTTTAAAAATCCCCTCAAGGGTATTACTTGCATTTTTGTCCTGCTTTCTTCCATCATAGAACTCACTCAAGGCAACTTACACAGGTTAAATGGAAGGTCTCCCATCCAGACACTGAACAGGGACAGACATGCTAAGCTTCACCAAGGTTGCAAAGTCTCTCCACTGAAACTATGCCTCTATGTATCTGCAGACATAGATATGGACACTAACTTTTGTGCAAGGCTAGTTTGAACTGCAATATGGGAAGCAGGCGGCTGCATTACATATTATTTCTGCCCCCTCTGCCATTCCATGTTCGCTGGTTTGTAAGAAAAAGAGCTGAATGTTTAAAAATGTAATTTACAGAAATAGTAAATGTTGCCATATTAAAATATATTATCTGGAAAAACAAAGCAAATACTAGATGCATATGAGGTTAGATAAACAATGTGTGATAAAATTCACATATCTGATTATTATGGAGTCCAGAATTATTGTGGTGGGCACGTATCACATTCCTTCTATTCACATCCTCTTCAATCAAGGAAAAGGAGTGAAAGACACACAAAAGTAATTTCTTTGGAATCCATAAGATACTGATTATACGTGATTGCTTTCATGTGTTCAGCATAAGTGTTTACAGATGTATATTGTACCTTGAATGACACTCTGTTTCGATACTTTGTTAATGCATCCAACTCTCCATAGCCTATTTCCCCCCTCTTATGAACTAGTGAACTTTTGAGGAGGACCTGAAGCCTTTTTACAGGCTTGGACCCAAACTATAAACAGAGTTCCCCTTGCAGTCGGCACATATCTAGAGGAGCATGGGATATGACACATGGGAGGTTAAGACTCAGCAAATCCTAGACAGCTCAGGTTCCTAAGACCTGCAAGACCTGTTGCATTCTGAATTGAGACCCCAACTAAAATTCAGAAGGACACAGAAGCAGTAGGAATGCATGCACCCAGATTTGCCTCCAAACGGCTTCCTAAATATTTTCCAGGTTGAAAAAGAAACGGACAGAAGAGCTCTTTAAAAGGAAACTATTCCCAGTACATGTGCAAAATTATGAATTCTCAAAGCAGTTCTTCAATACAACGGTCAGTTATACTATTTGACCCTCCTTCATCCGGGAACCTTAAGAACTTTGAGCCTTCTGCAATTATAAGAGCCCAGATTCACTGATGGTACTAGAGCATGAACAAGTTTTCCTTTCTGATTAGATCAAGAAAACAAAATGCCAAAATCTGTATGTATCTCTCTGCAACCAGAGAAGGAATGCACACATAACTAAGACTATTAGCAATTTTTATGAAATATTACTTATTCTTGTAATTAAAGTTTACTCTTTTGTCACGAGTTAGGGTCTTGAAAATTGCTACAATCAGTTTTCAGGTCCTTGAATTGACTGATACACAATTCACAACTACATATATTTGCAGTCAACTTCCGTGACCTCAGATCTTGTATGTCTTCCAAACAACAAGTGAAAAAAATGTAACACCATTTACCTTTGTCATTATAATCTTCAGAAGGGCTATTATTTTATTCCGCAGCTCTGTATTTCCAAGAATGTTATTATACTACTCTCAGTCCAACGGTCACTTGCTTTGCGGCCTGAAAGCACATTTGATGCTCTTGCTCAACTTATCTAGAAACAGTTGTAGCAAATGGAGAAGTGCAAGGAGAAAGCATCCAGAACTCCATAACAAATTCAATACATAATATCACTGAAACGTTAAAGACCAGTGCCATTATTTGCATTGCCTTTTGATAATATACTAGAAAAGTGAAGGTTATAGGTCTCTTCCCAACCAATTTTGAGAAAATGTGGAATATTTTAAGTGATGAAAGACAAAGGAAGATCATCCAAACGCTTAATTCTGGGAGAGGAATCAGCACATATGAAGAGGTAAGAAAACTGTTTCCTGATTTTAACGACAAGCTGATACTAAAACTCACTCTGTGAACTGGCAGCAAGGCAGAACTCTTAAATGATATCCAAATACATCAGTTTGAGCTTCTGGGTCCAATAACCTGACCTTATTTTGAATTATAAGCCCCTCACCAGTATATGTCTTTGAATTATGCTGCTGTCAACTATGCCTTAAAAATGAATAACTAACCCTTTTCAAAGTTACTCAGCATGTAACTCTATATGTCAGCAAGAGTGCAAAGAGGAAAAAAAAACATTCAGTCCAGTACAGAAAACCTATTCAAAATCTGGTAAAGTATAAGATGCAAGCACATGAAAACAAACTGCATGACAAAATAAGGCTCCCAATTTAAGATCTGTAAAGGAAAACATTTGGAAGGAGTTAAAAATACAAATTCACCCAGAGTTTTCTGTAGAAAAGGAACAAAAGGGTACCAACCTCCCCCAATAATCTTCAAGAAAAGAAAAATGAAAATCTGTACTTTGTCTTCTGTACAAAACTGTCCGCATATGTGTAGTAGAGATGGTGTTTCTCCATATTTAGTTTTCCAAGGCAATAATTATGGACAGGTAGAATTTGCACATTTAGCAGTAATAGAGCAGGTTGATTTCCCAAAAAATCCAAGTGCAGATATCATGACTTCCTTAGCAATCCTTTTGACATTTTGTACATCTTCTTCATGCTGTAGACCATGGATTTTTTTAATCCTTAAAGAAAAAGAGAAGTCAAGACATCAGAAGGTGAAAAAAAGAAAAGTTTAGTGGCTAGAATTGTCTTTTATATTTAAACTGCAAATTCAAATTTTTTAAAGTTTTTTAAAAGTTAAAAATATTTCTACAGTTCAATAATTAATGCCTGTATAGCAGAGGGCCTCAAATGGGGGAAGGGGGGCACAGAGTTTTTGCAAGGAGTCCACAAACCCGTATGTCCACTAAGAATTGTCATTTTGACCTTTTCGTCACTATGTGTTTTCTCAATCAATGGATACTAGTAGCACAACTACTATCGTGGGGAAGCCAAAAAAAATTTGATGTGAAAAATGCGGTCCTCATACTCAAAAAGGTTGAGAACCACTGCTCTAAAGGCTACTGAAACATCTGACAATTTTATGATCAATTGTTTATGAAGATTATTTGACTATATTAACCAATCAGTTTTAACTAGCCCCCCCCCCCAGAATGCAGTTCCAAAACAGTTCATTCCTGAAGTCTCATTTCTAAATTCTAACTCTTTGGGATGGAGTCAGTGATCTGACCGTGGAAAGCACTGATGGTCACGGATCTTCCCCTCACTCCATCACTCCTTTCTGAGTCATGCTGAGGAGCGATGTTGCACCATTTCTGCAATCTAGCTTCAGCCCTTTGAGCTGAATGGCTATTTCTTTGCTTGGGTCCTATAATGCGAGGAATCAAATTTCACAGCATTGGAGGCTACTACAAGGGGATAGCAGGAAAGATCCACAATTGATGGAGTGGATCACAAGAACCAACTTTTTACATTTCTCTCATGTCAGACTCTACAGATGCATCTGTGCTTCTTGCAGTTAGGATGACAATTTTCAAAATTTCTGTCCTCTTGCACCATGTAGTGCGAAAACACACACATGAAACTGCTTAAGTACTTCCTTCTTGCCCAACCACGTGTCCTTTTAAAACTTCCTGGTATTTAAACTCTGCAAAAAATAGAATCATCCCCCCACCTACGCAAGATTGATCTGTGCCAGATATATCATACGTTACTTTTTATGGTTGAAGCTTGAAAAACAGATGTCATATTCCATTGATGGCATGAACTATCTGTATATCGTTAACGTACACTACTGGAAGATATTTGGTTCATTCAGAAGGAAGCAGTGTTCTCAAAACCTGCTTGTTGAATAAGAAATTGTTCTGAGGTTTGGTTGCTCTTCTTCACCAATATAAAAATGGGAAAATTTCTGAGAGTCAAGTAAAAAAGCAGAGCAGGTTTGGCCTTGTATAGAAATGGGGGAAGGAATAATGGGTTGCTTGTGCTTCTTCTGTTTGTGCTTTCAGTGAAGTGATCAAGCTCTGGACCTGACCATCTTCTTCTCCCTAAAACGTATGTACTTGTTTGAAGCCTTTCCTTCGCAACTCAAAGTGGTTTCCAACAGTGACACAGTATAATATACCATGATCAATACAGCTAATTTTCAACCCAGCCAAATCTAAGGATACTTAAATCGGGGAATTGGAGCCATGAACACACATGACATATCTTTCTGCAAATCTAAAAACATTCCAGGTTTGAAGAAAAATCTGAAATCTTTAAAAAAAATGGGATTTTAAAACAAACCCAAAATAACAGAAGCAGCACCTGTAACTTTAAGAAAAAAAGGCTCTCAGTGGTCATTGAGAGGTAGGCAAAAAAATTATTGCCAAATTTCAAGCCTTGGCTTCCATTAGTGAAAAGTAGGGGATGGAGCACGTAACTTTCCAGGCCTCTTTTTGGAGCCCAGGTTTGAGAGCTCCTTCCTGCAAGTTATTCCCAGAGGCAACCAGCCAAAATGGACCCCATTCCCTTTGGGCCAAGGGAATTTATCTCCTCTGTTTGCTCACCTCCTTGGGTCAATTCTCTTCTTTCTGTTACTCCATCAACATTTGGCATGTCCACACCTCTGTTCTCTTCTAGCTGTCACATCCCGGCCAGGATATGATATAGTCCTTTGATGGTTCTCTGTTGACTAGTAGCATATGCATAACCAAACCTCATGGACTGAATTACTTGTGAGAGCCATCACCTGGATGGGGCATGCTTGAAAGCAACCTCTCTTCTATTTCCTGCCCATTTACCAACAGAGAAGCTTTCTGGAATTGATGTGGAAAGTCTGCATCCCAAAACTCCCAATAGTGTGAAACAGCCCAAAATGTAGGGCCTTCCTCCACAGAAGGGTCTGAAAGCAGAAATTGCTGGGAAGAGTAGCACACACAAATTCTTATAGGCAGAGGCAGTCCTTATCAGTTGCATGCCTCTCTGCAGTTTCTGTCGTTAACATATTTGGTGGGTCCAACACTGAAGTTTTGCTGTTTGGGGGGAAGTGTCTCCCCCAGGGCTAGGACTGGTAGACCACCCCAAAAAAAGTGAAAAAAGAGACTAAAATGACAGGAAAAGAGACTGAAAAGAGACTAAAGAGACCAAGTCACCAAGTACTCCAGATATGGTTCAAATGTTAGATGCTCACATGTTTTCGTACTAAAAATTCTGATAAATAAAATATATTTTTCAATAATCCCCAACTAAAGAAAGGCCGGTGTCGGTACCTGGGTTTTGTTGTTCAGAGTGCGGAGAGGACAGTTGCTCCAGGACGATTATTCTCGGAGAATTCTAGTCACAGGATGAGCCTCAGTGATGACAAAGGAAGGGGGGAGGTTACTTCTGACCTTCGTCCCCCTCTTCCCTGTCTCCCACTTTCTCCCATTTGGCTCTTCAGGTCTCTGCACACCAAGTCAAGTGGGCGCTCCTCCTCAGCTCTCCCTTGACTTTCCTCTTAAATAATCAATTCCTAGGCTTCCCCTCCTCTCTGCCGCCAATCATTGAGAACTCTCTCCGGGTATGTTTCTGCCTTTCTGCCCAGGTGGATCTTGTCTACAGGACATCAAGGTCGCATCTTCATCTCCACGGGGCTCAATTTCTCTTTCTCTTCATCTTGCTTCCTTTGGGCTTCAGAGCATCTCCAGTTCTCAAAGCTCTGTCAGTCCAGCCCTCTTTGGTGAATACTTCCTGGTCTTCTTGTCTGCTGTATCCCTCCTTGTCTTCCACTCCCCCATCTCCCCAGCTCTTCTCCAGCTTGATGGTGGTCTCCTTGCTTGGAGATGGGAGGTAACTCCCATCTTCCCTGTGGGGCAGAGAGTCCGAACTCGGACAGCCGATTGAGACCAGAAACAAATGTGTAAGTATACACATTTTGTGTAACTACAAAATGATAAAGAATATAATTTTTCTCTCAAAACTTGAGTGGGATGTTAAATTACATCAACGGTCACACTAAAAAAAACTGAAAAAGTTCTTTAGCTTGGCATCAAATGGATTATTATCATTTATGATAATATCTACCTAGTGGTTTTCTTCCCATTTAAATTTTTCAGTTTGTTAATCAAGCTATTTTTAACTCCAAAGCTTCCAAAAATATGTAGTGTATCATACAGTAGAATATATTATGTGTGTGTATATATGCATATATATTCATGCACAGTGTATCACTTGGTGTTTAAGGCTAAGTTTGTTTCTGGTCCTGGATGGGGTATGATTTCTTCGTTTATTATTGAATAAAAACAAAAACCACACTAAAAAGTATGATTAGGATTTTTTTTTATTAAATGGAATGCTAATTCAAATAAAAAATAAATCAAGAGGTTTTAGGTTTTTTACCAAAGAAAGCAGTGATCAAACTATT